AGCGAATAATGATAAAATAAATTCAACCCGTGCATCTTGAACAGTTATAGTCTTGAAAGGTGAGTCTCATTTAAACTGAGTGCAATTCAAACAATAACAAACACAGAAGAACAATATCTTACAAAAAGAAAATAATATTATTGCTTTGGATGCATGTCATCATGTCTTCTAAAAATAATCAGACCCCCTTTATATAGTAGGGGAGCCCTACTTAAGCTACAATTCTATAACAGGTAAAAAATTTCATGATTTGCTAATTAGCTAGTTTCTTATTGATACGTGTCGATATTCCCGCCGTGATACCCGATTGGTTACGGATATTTTGCCTTCTGTTATTCGGTCTGGCAATGTCACGCCCCAAACCTGGGGAGGCGTGGCTGGCACCCGGTGCCGCAATGGCCCGAGCGAACCACTCTATAACTCATGATCACTCGACCAAAACTGGAACATACATAGGTCGAGTTAGCTGAACTCATTCCTTTCATAACTATCAAGGGCCCACATGGCCACAACTCACAAGGTACAACTGTAAGTGGGAAAACACTGTATCACTGAACTATTTTTTTTAAAATATGAATACATATGGGCCGTCAAGGCATCTGACATATTGTACAAAATGAACCTCTGTCTACAAAGCCTCTAAGATTATTTGACATTAAATGGGATAGGATACAGGCCTACCCATAAGTCTATAGAAAACTTCTGACACGATGACTCATAGACTCGGGTGCACTCCGGATGAGGTGGAGTCTTACCGATCCTTTGCTGAAGCCAATCTCGTCTACTTATGAGGACTCGTCAAACTGATTATCTATATCTACATGCATGAATACAACGTCCCCAACAAAAGAACATCAGTACGAATAATGTACTGAGTATGTAAGACATGTAAATCAGTATATAAAGAACATGGGAGAAACATGGAGCAAAAGACTCAACCTGTAAGTCTGGATAGCTCTGTAAATCAAAATCATGAAATATCTATAGTGTCATGTATATGCGTATAAATGTCATGTAATGCATAGGTCTGTACGTACATAACATCATCAAGCTTTTGAGNATATGTACATATATGTATATTTATCAAACACTTTTAAATTCCTAAAAAAATTATCAATAGGCAATTAATAGCAGAAGTGGGTTTCTACCGCATTCTGTTTGATTTACTGAGAGCACTTATTTAAAGGAATTTTTAACATGTATAGCAAAAGTTACTAAATCCACTCCTTATTATCTGTACAATTTTAACAATTTCCAATGACTTAATATTGCTGAATTGAGGGGAGTAACCATCAATTCTTTAACACAATTATTGTATTGAAGTACAATATACTCAGCTCTAGGTACAAGCACTTCAAAAAGTCAGCAAAATTAACAAATCATAATACTCATGGATTCACTACAGTAGGTAAACAACTACTGAATTGCAAAGAAAAAGGTAACGACTTAAATTTTAGAAACAAATAAATCCTACAATCTCAATAAAACCAATTAAAGTAGCTAAATCTAAACAAATCATGTATCAATAAACACAATAAAGACATAAAAATGTGAAAAAAAGAGAGTACCTTGACTTGTAGAGAGTGTGAGAAAAAGGGATTTAGCTCAGATAGAAGAAAGTGAAGGGTAATGTATGAAATTTGAGATATGAAATAGTACTGTAGCTACTGATATCTCCACATTTTTGTCATTACCATTAATATTTTCACTTCTTTGTACTATTTTTGTGGCTTTATTCTCATGTATAGAACCTGATACATCCCCATCTTCCATTACACAAATACTAAATCACCTTCTTCTCCAACTTCTTAATTTTCCCTTTTTTTCTCCTCTAGTTAAAAAAAGTTTACAAGTATGAATAGTAAAAAGGTGTGAGCGTGGCATGTTTACTCTAAGAAAGGGAGCCAAGTGTGATCTATTTGTGAAAGACGTGGATTGTCTTTCTTGCTGCCTAATAGTCTATATAGTATTAGCAGCTTGCAAACAATACCAAAGGTATTTTATATTTATCTCTTCACACTAATCTATTAATTGAAAAAAATTATTATAACTCACATTTGAGAAGAACATCAACAAATTAATGACATTTTCCTTCTTTGGCTAGAAATGATCTCACACACTTGACTAATGAGTCAAACTTTTATTAGCTTTATATATTGATATTTTTCAAAAAGAAAAATTTATACTAATAGTTTTAGTAACCTAACATAACATATATGTTACTCCTTTTTCGTCTCACTATTTACGATATGTTCATTGATGAATGTATACAAAGTTTAAATATTAATTCAAAATATATAGTACTATTATCTTAGTGAATGTGGACGATAATATGAAACAAGTAAGAAAATGAAAAAAAATAGTTCCTTTTGTTTGGAACGAGGGTAAAATAATTTCTATCCTTACAATAAAAAAAATCTCATAAACTTTCTCATATTAGGTATATAATTTATCATATTCGAAAATAGTAATAATAGTAACTATTCAAAATTATACTTATAAAATTTTTACGAAAATACTTTACTTAAAAAGAAAATACCACACAAATATAATATCTAGCGGTATCAAGATTGTTAAACTTACGGGGTCTTACAGTCACAAATCTTTTGTAGAAAAGTACGGGATGTAACATGCAATGTTTCCTCGAGCTCATTTGAGGTCAGGGTTGATTCCAGGGTCATGGACTCGAGGTTCTCAAGGACGGGCATTCTGACCTCGTATCCTGGTTCGATGGAACACGTGGTCGATCTTCAACTCATCACGTTCCAATCCCGATTTGTCGTGCAATAGACGAGCCCGATTTCGAACGTATACACATATATTTGTTAATTTTTTTAATTTGTACTAAACATATATTTGCTTATAAAAAATTTAACAAGGTAATATTGAAATAATGTTCATATAACAAAAAAAATTCGAAAAATCCGACAAAACCGAACCAATTCAAACTGATATAGTTGATTAGGTTTGGTTTTGATAAAAATGAACCAACCCGGTCCATGTACACTCCTAAATATATACATACAGATATATTTTGAGCTAAAAGCATCACAGTAGATTCGATTGATCAACCTTCGGACCACTATATTTGTCTTAGCTAGAGATGAAAAATGGACAGGTTAGAACAAACCTAGGTGGGTAAAAAATGGGCCAAAGAAAAACCCATGACTCAATCCGTTCTAAGTTTGGCTAGGGTCATGATTGATCAAATAATAGGTCATAACTCAACCTATCCCGTCACAACATCTTCTCTTTATTTTGCTTTTGGAAAAAGAAATGTGGAAGACAATGTATTTTTCTTAAATTAGTAGTATTAGTTCTTCCATGTTTACATAATTCATAAATTTTAAAATTAATTTTATATGTTTGGACCAGCTTAGGTTACATTTTGACTCGTTGGATTACATTATTTGACTAATGTTTAATGGCACTTAGGATTCACCCCGGTGGATTAAGTTTATTTTGACTAATTCGTTTAAATAAGGATGTGTTGTGGAGGTTGCTAAAAAGTGGATTAATTTTGCCAACTCTTCTATGCTTGAAAGAAACTCATTGGAATCAGGAACAAGGTGGTCAGGTGACATATTAGTGAAAATTTTGGTTAGTGTAGCATGACACAGTTAGCTTTACTTGATATAGGCAGGTCGCAGGAGGAGGAGTAATTTAGTAATTAGCAAAAGAATAGAAAGGGCTGGCTGGCTATTTAGGTTTTGCTTAGAAGCAAAAGTAAAGTAAATATTGGCAATAGAGATAATATTAAACTTTTGTTTGTCTATAGATTTTGGCTTTATTATTTTGAAAAAATAATTTGTTTATGAAATATGATCGTATTTAGAAGAAAAAATTTCAAATTCCTAAAAACTGGTTTATGGTAGTTTTGAGTGAAATTTTTTCTTTCATTTTTAACTTTTCTTCTAATAAAATACATATCCAAATATAACTTCAATTTTAAAAAATTATTTTTGAACCCAACTTCAAAAATTATTTTTTTCAAATTTGAATCAAATTTATGTCCCTAAGGGGTCGTGTGGTAGGATGCATCAGATAAAATAATGCTTGCATTAGCTTTCTGTATTAATAATACCTTGTTTGGTAGACATTTTGAACTTATGCATTAGTTATACATCCTATTTGGTATTATCCTATGCTTAACTAATGCATAGAAAACCATGGTATTAGCAATGCAATGAGTTTTAATGCATGTATTAGCTTAGTTAAAGACAAAATTGTCCTTCAAAATTTATGCTTGATTAAAATATGCTAGTTATTATATTAATGCAAGTTTAAAATAATTCAAATAGTGAGAAATAAAATTATATATCTAGTAAATAAATAAATACTTAGCATATTTTCTTTTTTATAAATAAATATTTAGTTTTATTTTACAATATAGGTAGACAAATCAAATAGTTTTTTTAAACTTTTTCATATAAAAATATTTCTCAACATATATTTCTTTTAAAAAGTTTGAGTGATGGACTAGTTTTGAGGGTATTTTTGTAAACAAGCAATTCTTTTAGAAATTGTGCAATGCTTTAATACATCAAACCAAACAATGGATANTTATTATATTAATGCAAGTTTAAAATAATTCAAATAGTGAGAAATAAAATTATATATCTAGTAAATAAATAAATACTTAGCATATTTTCTTTTTTATAAATAAATATTTAGTTTTATTTTACAATATAGGTAGACAAATCAAATAGTTTTTTTAAACTTTTTCATATAAAAATATTTCTCAACATATATTTCTTTTAAAAAGTTTGAGTGATGGACTAGTTTTGAGGGTATTTTTGTAAACAAGCAATTCTTTTAGAAATTGTGCAATGCTTTAATACATCAAATCAAACAATGGATAGGAAATATGTAGCATAACTAATACCAGTATAACTAATGCAAGCATAACTAATACCAGTATTACTAATACCAACATATTTAGCATTATTGTTATGCACCATACCAAACGACCCCTAAATGTCACGCGGTTTCGAGGAGGCAGAAGTTGTGATGAGGACATTAGCTGACTTTGGTTGTGGAGTAAAAGTCTTCCAGAAGGTCTGTGTCATAGCCTTCTAAATCGTTTGTTTGTTGAGGAGATCAAACTGATCCTGCATTAAATCCAGTTTACTTTTTTCCTCAAAAGAGTAGTTGGGCGTTTTTTTGATGCACACACATATCTATTTGTCAGCTAACGTGGTATGGGTCTCTGAATCTCATTCTCGGTCCCTAAATGGACGTGGAATCAAAACAAGGCAACAAATCCACCGGAATGACGCGGCTTCCAAATTACAGATCGAGAAGAGGAAGAAATTGCTGCTTCATCTGCCTCGCCGTCCTTCTCCTTCTGGGCCTTCTCTTCCTCATCTTGGGCCTCACCGTTTTTAAAGCCAAAAAGCCCGTCACCACCGTTAACTCCGTTTCTCTACGGGATATGGATTTCTCCGTCGACATCGTCAGGCTCCAGGTTCACCTCAACGTCACCCTTCAAGCCGACCTTTCTGTCACGAATCCCAACCGGGTCGGGTTCAAGTACGACTCTACTTCCGCCATCCTGCAGTATAAGGGCCAGGTCATAGGAGATGCCCCTATTCCGGACGGCGAGATAGGTTCCCGTGAAACGCGTCCGATGAATATTACCCTCAGCGTGATGGCCGATCGATTGCTTTCCGATTCCGGTTTGTATTCCGACGTCCTTTCCGGTTCTGGTATGTTATCCCTCACTACTTACGTGAAATTGTCAGGGGTGGTCCGAGTTCTGGTCAAAATTCACGTGAAAACTACCACTTCTTGCGATTTGTACATCGATGTTCTTAACAGGAAGC